CGTGCCTGCCAGTCCTCCCCGGTGGACTGGGGGAGGGGGGAGAGCTGGGCCTGCCTACCCCCTCAGACAGGGGAGCGGAGGTTGGCGAGCGTAGCAAGCAGGGCGTACCACCCCCTAGTATAAGTTTAACAGCAGTGGTCCAAATGCAAATCCCAGCAGCACAACGCTCATTGCTACTCTCCCCCACCCCCTTCTAAGGGGAGTACCTGGCAATGTTTTCATGATGATTTAACCATCCTTCAATTTCTTGACTGCCCAGTCTTTTGTTATTCTTAATCCCCCTGCCTCCCCCTCTGTTTATAACAAACTCCCTGCTCCAAAGGCAAAGCTTGGAGCAGCTTAAACTCTGTTGCAGTCAAGAACTGCCTCTGGGGCCGTGGCATGTACTTTAAGAAGATCTCAAGTATGAAATCCAGGCGTTCAAACTTTGTGTGTGTGTGTGTGTGGGGGGGGCCTATGGCCTCCTCTGGCCCTCCATAAATGGTGTCGTTGCCTCTCCTTCCTTAGGTGCTTCGAGCACTGAAGTAGTGATACTGACATTTAAAGCATCATGAATAGTCTCAGAGTGCCTTTTGAAATAATGAGGGGAGTCACATCTCAGAGTACTTATTTCAGGCTCTCTGCAAACACCGGCATTTATTGCAGCATCTGTTACGCACAGGTCAGATTTCAGACATTTTCTTTGCAAGGAGAGCTGGTCACTTCCCTTTAATTTTAAACAAAAGCTGAGTCGCTGGAGACCGACTGACAGCTTGATCTTACTATATATTTTTAGAAATGTGTGTCTGTCTGTCTGCCTGTCAGTCTGTTTGCTCAAGAACTCCTCTGAAGAGCTAGGGCTGCCACATTTGGTATGGCGCTTCCTCTTATAACCTAAAGGATGGTCAGGGTTGGGTTGTGCAAAGATAATGGGATGTGCCTGGAATGTGATTGTTTCTCATAAAAAGGAAAGGGAAGGGTGTGGTAGGAGGGAGTTATATAGTAGTATGACCACAGGGGGGCAGCAAAGGGCCAGAGATAGGGACTGGGACATCTATACCCCCATTGGGCCAACTATGGGCAGGTGGAGAAGAGAACAGCTATCTACCATATATTTCAGAGATTATGTCTGTTTGTCTGTCCCCCAGCTGGGGGACATGTACCTCTCCCCCAACTGTGCCTGCTACAGCTGCAGTGGCCATGGACAGGCGTCTCTCACCTGTCCCCATGCTGCTGTGGTGAGAGAAGGCTGGGGTTGTCCTCTCTCCATGGGGCACCCTGCCCACTGAACCCCACATCCCCAGTCCCACGCCATAGCAATGCTTTAAATGAAGAAAAAAAGGGTATTGAGCTAAGGACCTGAGCGACACCGGGTATATCTTCTAGTCTGCACATAAATGAGGGGATGTGCCTAACATTTTGCAAAATGCTGCTGGGAAAATGCCCTTCTGTTCAATGCTCTCTATGAGCCATTATGCTTCACAGAAGTTGTCCAGTGGCCTTTGCATCTGGCCTCAAATCCTCCATGAACTGTTCTTTAAAAGGGCGGGAATGAAGATTGGGTGTTTGCTCTTTATGCTTCCTTGCTGGCAAGAAGAGGATCTGGCAGGACTTTGATGTTGCCTTGATAAATATTAGGGCTCTGACCCCTTGATTTTGCTGTAGGTCTTCCTTGTCAACTTTCAACTAAAGGCTGTTTGTTTTGAATCCTTATTGAAATGATCTTTTCTCCCAAACAAATGTAGGGTAATTGAATTAAATGGAGTGTTAAAAAGTCTGACTAACAGGCCTCCTGTCTCACTCTGCCCTAGAGGGCGGAGCTGGCCTCCCCACCTTGCTCAGGCCGTCAGTTCTCCTTTTGAATAAATAAACTTATAAGAATGGCCGTACTGGGTCAGACCAAAGGTCCATCTAGCCCAGTATCCTGTCTGCCGACAGTGGCCAGCACCAGGTGCCCCAGAGAGGCTGGACCGAAGACAATGATCAAGCAATTTGTCTCCTGCCATCCTTCTCCAGCCTCTGACAAACAAAGGCCAGGGGCACCAATTCTATCCCCTGGCTAATAGCCTTTTATGGACCTAACCTCCATGAAATTATCTAGCTTCTCTTTAAACTCTGATAGGGTATGTCTAAACTAGATGCCTCTGTTGTCAGAGGCATGTAGATTAGACACATAGGCAAAGGCAAATGAAGCAGCGATTTAAATGATCGCGGCTTCATTTAAATTTACATGGCTGCCGCACTGAGCCGACAAACAGCTGATCAGCTGTTTGTCCGCTCAGCGCGCTAGTCTGGCCGCTCCCCTGCCGACATCAAAGCCCTTTGTCGGCAGCCCCGTTATTCCTCGGGGGATGAGGTTTACCGGGGCTGCCGACAAAGGGCTTTGATGTCGGCAGGGGAGCGGCCAGACTAGCGCGCTGAGCGGACAAACAGCTGATCAGCTGTTTGTCGGCTCAGTGCGGCAGCCATGTAAATTTAAATGAAGCCGCGATCATTTAAATCGCTGCTTCATTTGCCTTTGCCTATGTGTCTAATCTACATGCCTCTGACAACAGAGGCATGTAGTCTAGACACAGCCTTATAGTCCTAGCCTTCACAGCCTCCTCTGGCAAGGAGTTCCACAGGTTGACTACAAGCTGTGTGAAGAACTTTCTGTTATTAGTTTTAAACCTGCTACCCATTAATTTCATTTGGTGTCCTCTAGTTCTTCTGTTATGGGAACTAATAAATAACTTTTCTTTATCCGCCCTCTCCACACCACTCATGATTTTATAGACCTCTATCATATCCCCCCTCAGTCTCCTCTTTTCTAAACTGAAAAGTCCCAGTCGCTTTAATCTCTCCTCATATGGGACCCGTTCCAAACCCCTAATCATTTTAGTTGCCCTTTTCTGAACCCTTTCCAAGGCCAAAATGAACTTACTTTCATAATTATTCTGGTGTTGCCTCCTTTGTGCCTGTGGATGTTTAACCACCCTGCTCCGCAGTGATCCAAGGGAGACCTGATGTGAATTTCTATTGCAGAAGCCTATAGCAATGAGGGAGAATGTCAGGCCTTTCCCATCAGAAACAAGCTAGAATAGGGCAAAAACCCCATGAAGAGTTTTCTCTGCAGGTCACTTGTACACGCTGGAAGGAGCCAGCCACTGCCTGTCATGGCAGCTTGTTTGCTAAGAGGTGCTTATCCTGTAATACATGTTGTTTTGCTGTGGCATCTAGCGACCAGGCGCTATAGTGCTGGGCACAGCTTTTATAGAGATTCTGTGCATCTGAGCAAGATCTAACTCTGGAGGAAACTGTTCATAACAAGAACAGGTTCTCCTGTGGGTGCTGCGTTCTTCTGACATGCTGTGCAAGGCTTGTATTGGACTGAACTCGAAGGCTCTTGTGTGTTCTATTGACTTGTACACGCTAAGTAGGATCAACACATGGAGGGCAAACAGTCTAGCAAAATCCAGACACTGATCCAAAGCATGTTAGCACGGAGTACGGGAGCAATTCCCCAGCATGACGCTGTCACTGTCGATCTTCCAGGGTTCGAATTAGCAAACATGCTAAACCTGCTTCCATGGGGAGTCAGAGAAGTCAAAGGGAGAGTGTTCTCCTTTCGAGTTCCTGCAGCATGGACAGGAGCCAAAAGCCGAATTAATGTACTTCAACTTCAGCTATGTAATTAATGTAGCTGAAGTTGTAGATCTTAATTCAACCTTATCCCATAGTGTAGACATACCCTTAGTGTCCTTGTGCCTCAGTTCCCCACCTGTACAACCCTTCTTCTCCTCTTACGCTTTGTCTTGTCAGTTGAGGCTGCCAGACAGGCGACCTCCTGTATGACTCGTAGTATCTAATAGGATGTGGTCCGAATCTCAGGTTGGCCTCTGGCGGCTTGTGCTTTTGCTGACAGCCCTGTTGTGTGTTAATTCAAGTGGCTGTTCCCTACATGTCCTCTGCTGTGCCGACAGGCTCTAAGATCCTTTGCTTCCTGACCCAACCTGTTGCGCAGTGTTGTTAAAACAGCTGCCCTGTTCCGCTCCAGAGGTGGCTTCATTTCAGAGGTGGGTGCCGTGGTTTCCCCTATATAGTTGTGTGATCTCTAGCAGAGCAGCCCAATACACCAAGTCAGCTGCTATTTATAGCTCACTGAGGCTGACCTGCAGAGGAGAGAGGGCCAGCTCGGGGGTCTCGCAGGCAGCTGTGCAGCCATGCAAACTCAAATGTTGCAGAATCCTTCATCCCACTGCGGAATGCTAGCAGGGCTCTGGTTTCAATGTAGCCCCTTGCAGGAGGTCTCTATGTTCTTCCAAACCTTGCCCAAGAACTGGGAGTTCTCAGGCAGGGATTAGTTATGGAAACAAGGAGATGCTAGTAAATACTATCCCCCACTCAATAAGAGACAGAGGAGAGGGACGCTGGGTTCTAATCCCAGCTCTGGCACTGAAACCTCTGCATCCCTTTTCCCCAGTCACTTTTCTTCTCTCCGCCTGTTTCTCTTCTCACTGGTCATCTGACCTGTTTCAGCAATGAGCTCTTCGGGTCGGACTGTCTTTCCCTGTGTCTGTACAGTGCCCCACACCGCAGGGCCATATCACCGCTGCGAACTTTGCTACCATAATACGAATCAAGTGAGGTTCATGCCATCCTGGGAACAGTGGGGAGGGGAAGGAAGGCAACTAAAGGAGGTAAGAAATGGAGATAGAGTAGAGGCAGGAAAAGAAAGAGGGCAGGTAAAAGTCCAGAGTAGATGCATGGAAGAAAGAGAAGGCTTGGAGCAGAAGAGTTTGCAGCACAGACAGGGTGCTCTTGGGGGCAGAGACTCTCTCTTACCCTGGATCTGGTCAGCTCTTGGCACAATGGGGCCCTCCCTGAACTCAGCCGGGTCAGGGACCACCTCTGGCTGGGTGCGTGGCCAGGCCGCAGGGTCCTGATCCCTCCCTTCCCCTTGCCCTAAAACTGAGCTGGAAGCATCGTGCGCCCGCTTGATCGCAGGCTGTGCAGCTCGGGGGCCGGCTGGGCCGATCTCTTACCCTGGATCTGGTCAGCTCTTGGCACAATGGGGCCCTCCCTGAACTCAGCCGGGTCAGGGACCACCTCTGGCTGGGTGCGTGGCCAGGCCGCAGGGTCCTGATCCCTCCCTTCCCCTTGCCCTAAAACTGAGCTGGAAGCATCGTGCGCCCGCTTGATCGCAGGCTGTGCAGCTCGGGGGCCGGCTGGGCCGACTCCAAGTGGTGCTGCGACAGGGGCGCAGAAGAGAGGAAGAGGCGGGTCAGGCCACCCCCGCTCCCTCGCC